TAAAACTAATGCCGATTAAAAAATTTATTTTACAAGCTATGCTGATCTGGTGGGACAGAATCAATCCCTTAAGGTGTGTTGTAAAAATGATGTATGTGCGAAGATCTCGAGGCTCATTCGGTATTCACTTGTATCGGATTTTTGTGTTTATGTTTTGAATTGATTTGATTACATTGCTATTGAATACAAATTTAGTTATTTGTGTACAGTAAAGTATTTTTCTTGAATTTAACGTTACTTTTATGCTATTATACCCTACTGTAATGTCAGGACAGGCGTAGTCAACCAAATTTTGCTTTTGCTAGTGTAAAGTCATTCGAATTATTGATTTTCTTTGAGGATTAAGTAATTACAGTTTTAGTATACGATTAGCCTCCCGTGTCAGACGTTAGCATTGCTACTTCGTTTGTTGTTTTCTTCGGTCTGTTACAGATTTGCAGAACGCGCCCTTCTGAGCTCAAAAGGGTGCGATCCGAAGTTAAAAGGTAAATTTTGTTATTTTCTTCGTTTTTCTGATTTAACGTTAGATTACATATTGGTTTTCGACGCAATCGAATTGTAATTATTACATTTACTTTGGATTCACTTAACGATTATAGCTCCGTTGTTTTCTGCGGTAGCCTGTTTTTAATATTAATATTTTCTCCGACTACGTGTTGATCCCCTTTTACTAAAAAAAATTTTTAACTTCAAATATTGACATAGCAGATCGGAATAATTCAAAATTTCTAAAGGGTGTGCCAACACCCCTCACAATCGGAGTGACTTGAAAACTATGTCATAATTTTGTGTCTACATAGCGATAAAAAATGAGTGACCGTGGAGTCGCCTTTGGAATTTTTATTTACATGGGAAATCGTACTTAACTCGAACTTCCAAAGGCGACTCGACAGTAACTCATTTTTGATCGCCCGATATTTTGTGCATCGTTCCTCAACGTTGGGATCATCTTATAGGTTTTTCTGCTATTTATTCTGGACTATATTGAACACTTTGAATAGAGGGGAAACCATAACAGGGATCGCAGATATGTTCGAGAGTCATGATCGGTGACCTCGTCCCACTTGCTCGGGTACCTCGGGGGCGCCAATCCCCGTATGGCTGATCAACAGCCACCCCTGAGGGTTTATTATTATTTTTTTTTGAACAGTGTTGTTTCTTAATGTTACATAAAATACTTAAAGAGGATGCTTTATGCGTACCACTTTTAAAAAAGGCGATAGCGCATACGGACGGACAGACGGACGGACGGACAAAAGACTTAATTTATAGTACTTGTACTTATTTTTGGCTTGTTAGTGCAAATTCTGTGTTTTGTTGACGAACAGTATTTTTACATTTTTTTATTACATAATTATATCAGTCTTACAGTGCATACAATTTAATCGATTACATACAAGTAAACAAAAACCAAAAAGTTCGAGTAATGTTTCTACAAGCGCCAACGTTTAAATTCATGTATATTGAATAAGGGTTTCGCAAGTTTTAGTTTGCTTCCACGTGTACATTTTACGTGCACACTGTATCATGAATTATTTAATCACGAGAATTAATGGCTTCTTTTCTTAGCATCTCCTTGAGAAAAAGTTTTACTAATCAAAAATTGAAGGCAGGGAAAAACGGAATAGTTGAAATTACAACTATAGCATAAGTTCAATTTAAGATAGAACAACTCAATGTCCCTCAATTATAGTTAATCTTGACGAATCCCTCTGACCTAGTTCAGTACAAAATTGTACTGAAGACGCCAACATGTTATAACTACGTGTTATTTATAGTTTTCTGGACGCCCCGCTCATACGAAAAAGTTTGTCTAAAAAAATGTTTTCCCACCCCTACTAAAAAGGTGTTAAAATCTATAAATAAGAAATCAATCTACTCGGTGGAATGGAGGAGGTATATTTGAAAATTGAAAATGCGCTATTTCTAGCGCTTTGTACCTACACCCGTCCCTTTGAGAGGAATGGCGACAACTCAGCGTTGCATAGTTTTAGAAAGCTTTTTACTGTCTCATGCTCTCATATTGCGCCACAATTATGGGATAAAGGCACGTTGAATGAAAATTTCTCTAAAATGTATGGTTACCGTGGGGAGGATTTTCCTGCGTACCTATGCCTGTGTTATATGTATCTGTCTGTCTGTGCACGATAAAGCTTTGCTCTTCGATTTCGTGTTTACACTATTAGGGTTGTGCTGGAAACGGCCACATGTGGATTTTGATTAATTTTGGTTTCATTCATTTCATTCATTACAATATTAAAGGAAGGTATCATAGTCCGAAGCAGGAGAAAATGCTAATTTAGTATTTCAAAATGACACTCCTAATTAACACATTAAAAGGAACTTCAGAACGAACGAATAATTACGCACACAAGGCAATACCAAAAAAACCTTCTACGGGACAAAAACCCCGACATAGCCCACACAAATCAATGAAATAAATCAACTACGACAACAAAATACAAAAGAGAATAAAACATCTCAAATTGTACGATAAAACTAAGGTATTCAAATCAAATGTAGTTAAACAAATTTATAAAAGCAAAACGCATGAGACAACATAAATGCAAGTGGAAAACATGATAAATGAATTTAATACAAAAACACATTAAAATAGATGTACGATATATTGAGATTGATAAATTGCTATTAAAACAGGAGAGAAGTTAATTAGAATGCCCCTCTTCTCGCATTTCTAGACGCAAGTTCTGCAGCCTGCACGAAGTAAAAAAGAAAACATAGGACAAATAGGACCGCATGCAGTCCCTTTTTCCACGGAGATAAATTATTAGATCAAGCTCCAGACCGGAATCATACTGATAGTCCACTTACACGTGATTAATTCAGACATTAATAAAACAAGATAATGGCATACCTGTATAGTATAACAAACACGCATGGTTCAGATAACGGTAGATAAACAAAAGCTTAAGTACGCCACTAGTCTTCGGCATCTGCGCAAAACGGTCGAAATCGAAAACGTGGCACGACTGATGTATACAGAGCGTATCGTATTTTTGTTTCAGATCTAAAGGTGTGTTGCCTAACCATAGGAGCAAATTACCACGTTGTATCCTCTCACTTATCATACTGAGGGTTTTATCTTTCAAAAACAAATTACAAGAATTTTCACTACGTACCACACCACGGATCTGAGAAAATTATCAACCCTTTGTTTGTAACCGTCGGATCCAATTTGGGGCGCAATGTGGTGCTTTAACGTGAGGACCGCTACAAAATATTGGGGTTTTTTCATTTCTCGTAAAGAAAGAAGCTACATATATCAAAGAATTAATGCTAACCTAATCCCAGGAGAACTTTTCACTATGCAGGAATCTGTTCCCAATTCCCAATAATACGGACTAAAAAGCATTGTGATTTTTTTTACTTTGTTATCACTAAAAAAACCGTAAATGGCGTAAATTATTACTGCGGCGCGTAATAAATTAAGTGTCCTATTTCTTGTGTGTATTTAACTGGGGAAAGTTCTTTAATGTTTGAATTAATTGGATTATTTATGATTGGATTAGAATTTCAGTTTATGAACCTATTCCCATTTAAGTTTACCATTTTCAAAGTAATTAGGTCAAGAATTATTATAAACTGGAAGGTTATATGTAGTTTAGCTGTAGAACTGGAGATGCTGATTAAATAGGAGAAGAACTGACGGCTCAACTGCAGATCTGTTAGCACAAACGATTCCTTGGTCTTCTCAGCAGAGAAACGGAAGCCTGTGTGCTTAGTTCAGGATTCTAGACTTTGAATTGAGTTTTGCATCAAACTTGTTGAAGACTTTAAATTTCTGTCATTTTTCAGTCGGCTTTCTCTGTTTTCCATCTTGACCTGCGTTTGAACTCTTTTTTAATTAGCTTGCTATGAATGATGGGGATCGGGTAATGGTCACTGATGTGGTGCAGGTCCGATAAGACAGATCACTCTAGGAGATGCGCCAGTTTTAAAATCAACGAGCTATAGGATTATACAGCGCTATTACAATATAAAGGGTCGAATATCTTGGTTATCTATATTTGTAAAATGCAAAGAATTCATTAGTCATAATGACAAATCTCTGACTTCCGCTTTGGCCGGAATAAATAACCCCAATTTTCTTTAAAATAAAACACCCTGTATATTTATAAATTTTTTAATACATTGTTGCTACGCGGTTTTTTATTGTGTATTCAAAAATTTAAAAAATCCCGGAGTGCGAAGTTGGCGGACAAAAATCAAATACGTATAACTTTTTTGGGAGGTGCTCTGCAGATTTTAAGCACTAAACATACGGCTAATTGTGGAAAGCTCTTCCTTCACCAACATTAGCATAGGTGCAAATAATTTTTAAAACTTTCAGGTAGACATAGATTTGCGTAGGTATGTCTAAAAATATTTCGCATTCAAATTCCTTGATTGTAAATTGGCAATATTTCATGGTCAATTGTCGATTTAATCAACCTGATAGCGAATTAATTACTGCTAAAAGTGGGTCAGAATAAAATTGGCCATTTTATGTTAATTATGTACTGTCTAACAACGCAAAACAATTATAGAGCAAAATTTTGGGTTGGATAGACTTTTTTCAATTTTCATCAGATTCTTTAGCAAAACGCATATAAAACAACTTTTTGCGGTTCTGTGATGGACGAACGGACAGAATTTCTGAAAAATAGGTAATTTAATACGAGCATCCCGTTCTACGTTATTGCAACAGATAATGCTATAGATAGATTTAGTGTTATCGAATGCTACTGGCATCGGTATATGATCCATGTTTATGAGTCGTTATCATTTTCGATTCTTTCAATCAAGAAGAAGATCGGAAAATATTGGTCGGAGTCAGCGTTATATTTTGCTTTTTAAATGATTAGACGGTAACGTTTATAAATATATTTCGTCATAGATGTAAATGTGTCAATAGGTATTTTTTGATTAAATATTTACATATGCGCTGTATCCATTTGAAAGATGTGTCGAAAAGCTATTTGCTTAAACAGATATGGAATTATAATACACATGCCCTTAATGTGACGAATAACTTAAGCAAATAAGGGACTTTGATAATGCGACAGATTTTCTGCCAGTGTTATAGAAGAACTGTGCGGTGTCAGACAGTTCATTTTGAACAATGAAAGCCAGAGCGTTGTTCATTGTTGGGTTTTCGACCATCTTATGGTGCGGTATTTCAGGTACGTTTCAAATACCTTTGTCTCGCACAATTATATTAATTGCTTTATTGAAAATACGATTCTACGTAATATAATAATCAATAACGTCCCTCGAAATAATAGAATTTTAAATATATGTAAATAATGTTCCAGTAACTGATGAATTATGTAAAGCACTTAGAACAATGGATGTGAGGACGCGTATTTCAATTTCAAGTAAATCATTAAAGTAGACTTTTTTTAAATGCTACTAACGAAATGGCGCGTTTTGGAAGCTTTACTCATATTTCTATGTAGAGATTTATTTGCAAATGGATGATAAATGATGTTCAGTTAGACATTCATTGCACCAAAAATTGTAGATAACAAAATTTTGGAAATTCCTATGAGGAATACCTACCTACCTACTTCTTCGTGTTACGCATACATAGTATTTAATTATGGTTTCAAAATAACGTTTTCTTGTCGGGGTATGGTCACTGAGAGTAATAACAGTTTTTCATGTTACACGATCAAAATGTTAACTGTTGTCCTAAACACACGATATTAGAGTTGTTTGCAAACTTGATGGTTTTCAAAACTTAAACCTCGACTTAAACAAAAAGAAGAACTGGCAGGGCCGGATGGTCATGTCCAACTAACGCACGGGCCGTCAGATAAACGTTCGTGTAAATGTTACTTTTGATAATCTTCAAAAAATTTGAAACGCCTTTTGTTTCATTTGGGCAGTGTTTCAGGCAAAACTAATCAACGCCTATTGATCAAACATTATTGCCCTTACAAATACTAAGTCTTCATTCAACAGCTCTTCTAATCATGAAGTTCGATTTATTCCTGCATCAATGTGGTGTCGGTCTGCATAATGAATGCAACAAAAATTAAAGGTCCGCTTTAACTTTATTATTAACCACACACAAATTTGAGCTTTTTTTTGTAGTTTTTAGTGATTGCTGCAAGTTGAGTTAGTTCCACCACCACAAGTGATCTACAGTCTCCATTACCAGTTAAAGAAATTAATAAACCCCTAACAACATTTCATTCTACTAGTTCGAAAAATTAGATCTACGTATATAAAATTCGTTGTTTGAAAACTAATTATTTTAACTGAAACATGAGTTCACCAATAATTGTATTAGCACTGTGGATCAATGAAACCGTTTGTTATGAACCGAATTGCATGAAATTCAAACTGGGCATAGTTTTAGCGATATAGCACGCAATGCCAAAAGTTAAGCCTAATCAATTCACAGTGCCTTTTTAGCGAATTTTTGCAAATTTCAAACGCGAATTGCCAGTGAACGGGACGTCGGGGGTGGGTACCGGCAAAAGCGAATATGGTAGCCCCCGATAAGATCTTACTAATGGTGGAATCAAAACGCGCTAATAGAATGCTGATCTACCGCACAAAAATTCGCTTGAAGTTCCTTCGATCTCACACGAGGACTTTTATAATTTTTATCATCTCGGCCATTTATAAACCGAATTGCATGAAATTCAAACTGGGAATTGCGAATACCATACCAAATGTAATGTCACCGTCTTGGCACTTTTGATTATGTATCGCCAGAGCTTAATTCATGCATGTTGACATCTACTGAACCTAGTGACCTTTGACTCTCAAGATGTCTGCACTAAAACAGATCTGTAAAGGGAGAGGTCGGCTTTCAGGCTTTTGTGGAGGTTTTTAGCGAAATCCGCGCATTTATATGACTGTGAGTACCGAGAAAAGGTAGCCTTCGAGAAGATCTTATTGATGGTGGAGTCAAAACTGGCTAATAGAATACTTCTGTCACACGAAAATGTGCTGAATTTCTTTCATACGAGAACTTTCCAACTATACAAACAGTTTGAATGGCACACGCAGAGGCGCCACTTGAGGTAGACATGAGAGCCCCCCCCCCCACTACCAAAATATTCGAAAAAAATACGCACATACGTACCTACCTACTTCAAATACAAAATAAATCGTTTGATCGGATACACAGGTACTTTTCCGTACCCATGGATCTCTGGATGCTGTGCCCGCAATTAATAGGATTCATCTACCAGACAACCTGAAAATCTTAGTATCAAATATATATCATTTGCCTCTTCTAACACGCGGTTTTTGAGATATTCACACTTGAAGTTTGGACCCGATCGACGGATGCGTCTCGTTCACATCTATCATTTTCCCATTGTAAATAGCCTCTTCCGACATTACGTTTTCGAGATATTCGCATTTGAAGTTTTCACCCCACCCACAAATGCGCTTCGTTGGCATCTATCATTTTCGCCTCGTAAGTACCCTCTTCCGAAACTCGAAGAATGTATCTTGCCGACATCGTCATTTGTGAATTTAAAGGAGTTGATTTCAGATTCTCTCTATTATTTTTAATTGCAAATGTTTTCATTTGGACGTATGGTCTTATTTTTTTCTACTATATTTTAGCATCGAAGCTGGTCCTACTGAAAAAGTGTTGCAGCTTGGGTACCAATTACGCTCATTCAGGTTTGAAATGTGAAAATTTTCAAACGCCTATTGCTGGTGTAGCGCTGGAAGACGAGCCCTTTTGTCTCAATTCCATTGATGTATGCTGCAAGAATGAATACAGGTAGCTAGAAAATTGCTTGTCCATGTTCAAAAATTGATATTTACAGAGAAAAGGAGTGCGCTTTAGGGCAAGAAGATGCCAAACTGGGGAAAACATGCGACTCCGTCGAAGACCAATCAAGAAAAGTAAATTTACCCCATGCAATTTTCGTACTAATGGCGTTTGTTTAGGATTGCTGCGAAGTTTGCGAAATGGGTCTCGAAACAGGAACCTCGGGTCAATCTTGCGGAACTAATTTGGGATTAGGTGATTTATTAGACGCCACTTTTAAAGCTTGCTGTGGAAAAGTGACCTCTACTACTCCACAAGTGAGTACCTCCCAGTCTCTACCACCTTCAGCATCCTCCAAAACTACGGCAGCCGCCTTAACCCCTGGTACATTCACAAAAAGTCTAGAAAAGAAGGGCGACGGTAACACGCCTCCAGTTCCGAGTAAGTCGCAATTTCAGTGAGGGTGCGCACAATAATGCATTTTTTTTTAGCTTTGGAGGCATTGTGCGATATACCAGATTTATGCGCTCACATTTGTATTCAAACAACAGACTCGTTCAGATGCGAATGTTATCAAGGATACGCCCTCATGGCTGATGGAGTTTCTTGCAAACCCATCAAGCAACCGCATTCATTTTCAGACCGGTGCAGTATTTTTGCAACGTTACCTATGTGAATATGTATTTTTTTCCATTTCTAGCTGTTCCATAAGCAATCCTTGTGACCAGAAGTGCCTAGACACCGGTATTGCAGTAAAATGCGGTTGTTACGAAGGCTATGAGCTCACCAGTGATAAAAAAACGTGCAAAGGTATATTTTTTATAGTAAGTAGTGTAATTAACTGATCATTAAACTACCAGATATCAACGAATGTGTGTTGGGCATGCACGACTGTGAAATTGATGAGGTGTGTGTCAATACCGAAGGCGACTATGATTGTGAAAAACAAGATAATTCTCTACAAATCACAAATTTTAACGACAAATGTCCTGAAGGATACAAATTTAATGGAAAGCAAATGGTTTGCGATGGTAGCATCTATTTCCATACAATGTTGGGCAGCAAACTGAACCTTCTAATATGACTAAAAAATGCTTCAGTTTGCTGCTCAATAAGGTTTCACAAGTTAATGATAAACCTTTTAGACATAGACGAATGTCTATTTCCACTTACATGCCCAAAACCGAGTACGTGTGTGAATACCATTGGATCATATAAATGCGAGGATATTGAAGAGCTTCCCGCGTGTCCCCCCGGTTTTTACTTCAAACAATCAATTCAAACGTGTGAAGGTAAGCGATTGGGATAATATAGTACTCAGTGACAGCCCAACAATTACAGACATTGACGAATGTATTGCCGGTAAAGATGAATGCAACAAGGAATCCCAAATCTGTTTAAACACAAAGGGAAACTATACTTGCATCGATAAAGCATCAAAAAAATCGTGCCCGCCAGGTTTCAAAAAGAATATAGTCACGCAAGCATGCGAAGGTTCGCGCATTCTGCATTGAAAATACACTAAACTATTATTGTAGATATAAACGAGTGCGAAGAAAACTTCCAGCTCTGCGCTGAAAATGAAGAGTGTGTCAACGAGCTTGGTGGTCATACTTGTATACCAAAAATTACTACACAATCATCAACTGCTGCAACTACATCTCGTTCGCCTTCCACTGTAGCTACTACACCCGCACCGACCTCTCCATCAACTCACAAACCGGCCACACCACCCGTGTTTAGACCACAACATGTGCTAATTTCCACCCCTACTGCGAGACCTGGATATCCATTTTATAACCCCCCGTCTCAGCCAGTTTCGTGCACCGCTGGGTACAAATTTTCACCGCCCGCGTCATGTGTTGGTAGGTCTCAATCTTTGCGTAAATACCTAGGTAATGGCAGACCTGCACTTCTAGATATCGATGAATGCAAGGACATACCTCATAGTTGTGACAGTAACCAAGATTGCTATAATACTGTAGGCAGCTATGTGTGCAGTTGTAAGCTGGGTTTCTCCAAGGATCATCAAACTGGAGCCTGCGTTGGTAAGAGAGAAGCTAGCTACCGTGCGCAATAATAAATGCGTATTGCCAGATATCAACGAATGCCAGATCGGAAAACACGATTGTGGTGAAGCACAGCGATGCGATAACACCATAGGTTCATACGTGTGCGCTAGAACCACGGGTTGTGGAACGGGATATACACTAAATTCCGCTACAGGGCTCTGTGAGGATGACGACGAATGCCTGTTGGGCTTACATAACTGTCATGATTTAGGGCCAAAATTCCAGTGTAGAAATACATTGGGCTCTTATCGTTGCGAAAAAATAAAATGCGTAGGCGATTGTTTAAATAAAAAAACAACACCGCCTACGACAAAAATTGTACCGACGCAACAAAATGCCATTATTAGTGGCCAATTTAAGAAATGTTTGCCCGGTTACCAGATGAATCCAAAAGGAGAATGTGAAGGTACGAATGATAGTGCACTTACAAATCATCACTCTGAAATCATTTGTAGACATAGATGAATGCGCAAGCAACCCCTGTAAACGCGGCGAGAAATGTTTAAACTTGAACAGAAGATACCAGTGCATACCGTTTATTTATTGTAAGTCGGGGTATGAACTAAATGAAGCTGGCACGGAATGCGAAGGTAGGTAACCTGAAAGTAGTACTATATGTAGATTATAATGTGCAGATATCAACGAGTGCACCAGAGGTACACACAAATGCAAGAGTAGCCAAATTTGCAAAAACGGCCCCGGTTATTATATATGCCAATGTCCCCCAGGACACAAACTTAATCCAGATAACGAATGTGAAGATATTAATGAGTGTGACTTCTATAGGGAACGGGTGAGTTACCTTGAATTCCACTATTATACTTAATCTTCGTCCGTTTGAAGATTTGCTCCCATAATGCTGAGTGTATAAACACAGTTGGTTCCTATGAGTGCAAATGTAAAGACGGTTTTCGATCTAATCAACACTCGTGCGATGATATTGACGAATGTGCGGAAGTCTCTGGATTGTGTCATCAAAACTGCGTAAATCTTTGGGGAAGTTATAGGTGTTCTTGTAACAGGGGATTCACGCTTAGCATAGACAACAGGTGAGTGCCCAATGTTTGAAAACGTTATTGAATTCTTTTAGGACCTGTACCGACATCAACGAGTGTGACAAATTCAAAACGAAACACTTGTGCGTTGGAACCTGTCAAAATACACCTGGTAGTTACACTTGCAAGTGTCCAGATGGATACAGACTTGGATCAGACGGACGTACATGCCAAGGTAACATTTCAAAAGCCCACCCAAAGCTATAAATACATCGCTTACAGACATAGACGAATGCCACCAAAACGTATGTCGAAATCCCGATGATGTATGCATAAATACAAGAGGTAGTTTCAAATGCCACACAATAACGTGCCCACCAAACTACATTAAAGATCCCGAGCACAAAAGGTGAGAGAGCTAAATTAAATTTAACACTCGAAAACACATTGTTTTAGTCGTTGCAAAAGAGCGTCCAACGTTTGTGACATTAGAGATACACACTGTATACGAATGCCGGGACAATATTCCTATCATTTCGTTACATTTGTATCAAATCTGCCGATACCCGATGAAGGCAAAATAGACTTCTTCCAAATGAAAGGACCGTCTTGGGCGGGATCATCGGCGAATTTCAATATGGATATTGCCAACGTTCGATGTCCCCCACAAATCAAACAAGCGGACAGCAATCACTTCAGAATGAAGCGAGATCTTCATAAAGTTATTGTTTCGTTAGTTCGGCCGATAGAAGGGCCTCAAGAAATTGAAATGCAGCTTCAGATGGAGCTGTACGTTTCTGGCGTTTTTCAAGGAAAAGTAATCTCCACCGTTTTTATATACGTTTCCGCGTATGATTTTTAAAGTAGATGTAACCCGCTTAATTTTGCCTAGCAATCTCACTTGGCGGTCTCATTGCATATAGCTATATAGTTTCCTGTTTAGTAGCATCGTTTCAAAAGTAAAATAGACGCGCTTGCGCTTACTGGTAAATTTAGATATAAGTATTTCGAAGTAATTTTTCCATTTCTCCTGTTGGTAGTACCTATAGTACCACTTCAAAATCGACTAGATGCTCAGTTTAGCGTGCATAGTGCACAATATTTTAATAAACCTGCCATAGAGTAAATAATTTATTCTACGGTTTTGCTTTAGTCCTAAATGGTAGGTAGATATAGAAAAAAAATTATTTTTTAGAGCACCTACTTAAAAATCTTCCAATTCAACTTTCTCTATCGCTGTAGGTAGGTACTAATATTATATTTAGGATCATGTGAATCATATTATATATTTAAATATAACAAAGCACAAAAATGTACAAAATCTGTAGTTAGGTAATAATGTAAAAATAATAAATAGTTCTTGTATATAGCAGTAGTTACTTAGTCAGCACCAAGAAAAGTTTGACTCCACCATCAGTAAGAGCTTGTCGGGGACAACCACAACGCTAAAAACCCACCCTCAATTTTTGGGACTTCTCATAGCTCGAGCTTCTATTGGCGACACGAGAAAGAGAGACCCCGATTAAAGCTCTAAGAAACTTTCTACCTCTCGAAGACGCTGCCTTGCAAAAGGTGGTTAATTTCGCTATAGGAAAAAAATTCCGTCGCGCGAGAGTTGTGCGCGTTTATAAGACCTTTCCGACGATACCAATTTGAAAACAATCGGATTAAAACTTTACAAAATAAGAAAAAAACTGAAAAATCTACAGGCTAATATAACGCGCTCGGGGATGGCGCCCACCCTACATCACGTAGCCCCGTCCCTAAAGTTGTTAATTACACGGCCACGGTAGGTACACGTACACTCCTTGTCTTTCTACAGGCGTTCTTCTACGAGTCCGCATTTGCTGCCAGCCAGCCAGCCAGCTAAAGTGCGATTGAAAGTTACCTTTTTACAAATACAATTGCAAAAAAGAGCTAAAAACTACGTTCATAAGTATATAATCCAAAGATTCAAAAGCCGAATACTTTGTAAGAAGGGAATCTCGTACCTTGTGGATCATAAGAAGGATTCCAGTAAGCCTCAATTACGCCAAATTAGTTAATATTGCCAAATAGAAGAATTATAAGCGGAACGTGTGGTCCCTTCCTTAAAAAAATCTCTAGGACGGGCTGGTTAATATGTTAAAAATTCACCTACCTACGTCTAACCATAAAACCAGTTAATTTAGGAATGTATCATGAGTGTGCGACGCGCCGCATGCACATCCGGCAACCAGGGGTTGGAACAGGAACCGAAAAGAACCGGTACCAGAACCCTTCACTTTGAACCGAAGGCGTTATTTAAGAAGTTACGATAACCAGAACCGGTACAGATACCGTTATTATTAGTGGCAAAAAACCGGTATTTTTCGTTCAGAGTTGAGAATTTGCAAGAAATTTCAAAAGGCAAAAATCCAAATTTTCACTTTTATTCAGAGTTGCCCACCGATTTCAAACAACTTAATCTTAATACCAAACAAGTAAAAATATTTTAGAGTGACTAATACCGAAAATGAATCAAAAACAGTAAGAGGGTTGAAGCTAGGGTTGAAGAGTGTAGGAGCTAGGGAAGCAGTGGCTAAAATTAACTACTAGTTCAGTCAACCTGTGTTTTTAGTGGGAAAAAAATAGTATAGTATAAAGCGCTACGGACTGGAGATGGATCATGCAGCAATGTAACTTTGGTTGAAGTCGAGGAAAATGAAGAACTTGTCATGGAAGTTTAGGAAATCGGAAATGGTCAACACCAATTTATTTTTAAATGTGAATAATCTGAAAATATTTTTCACTTAAAATTAAGATACCGCAATTATTTTCTTCTAAAATAACATAAACATTTTCAAACAAAAAACTGTTTAAAATACATTTTTTAGCTGTACCTATACAAGGACTTATTAATATTTGACACAAATTTAAAAAGGGTGGAATTTAGGTTTCACTGAGATTCGTTGGGTTTAGTTTAGAGAAAATGCAATAGTGTACCTTAAAGTTAAAAAAAACACTCACTATACAACAATATTAGCATTGCAACGCCGCGCCGCCGGGCCCACCTCGACGGAACCCGCCACGACTGGGTACGCATTCTGCATTACACCGGCTGAATCTCGCATGCTCTTCAACAAAGTAAGTACTATTGCATATCATTTTAAAGGTAATAATGGGAGCTACAACTTTTGTAGGGAACATTTTTTGATAAAATGTCGGCGTGAAAATTTCTGCGACAAAAAGTAAAATTACGTGCCGAAAAATATACCACTTTTTACCTTTTCATACGAACTACAAACAAACGGTAAAAGTTACGACGAAAGTCAACTGAAACTTATTTGTAGACAATGTTATAGTAAAGAGAATAAAACAAAGTGCAGTCCGATATGTTGTTTAGTAATCGAGAGAGACGCGATTTACGAAACCCCTACACTTTTCATGTTTAGGGTGGCACAGGGGGGGAAGCAAGGGGCGTAGGGGCGGGGACTTTTGGCTAAACACTTGTCTAAATGGCAGTAGTCGATGGAGAAAAAATTAGCTTTATACTATTTTTTTCCTTCAACTGGTGTTTTACGACACAGGTTGACTGGACTATACTGCGGAAGAAAAGGAAAAGTAGAAAGAGGCGAAACGAACGCGTAAACTAAAAATAAGTTTCAATTAAACTTAAAAAATATGTTTAGGGAAAAAACTTTAGAGACACGCTATGCGATAAAATTTTGCGTCAAACAAAAGAATTGTCGGATAAGGCCCGTTCTGGGCGCCCATCAACATCGCGAACGGTCGATAATGTCACTCGTGTGCGAGATTTGCTGTACGGGGTGCCCCATTAGTAATGGTCACAGGCCATATCTATGGAACCGTTAATTGCACAGCTTTGGGAAAAAAATTTTGGTAACGAAAGGGGCCAAGAGAATTCGCTGGAAATTATTTTCAAGTTTCTAACTTCGCCGCTAGAGGGCGCACGATTCATGGTTAAGTAGAAAAACGACTTTTTTCCTACCCAACAAACATGCATAGCAATCTTGTATCAGTTTTGCATCATTTTGATGCAGCACAAATTGTTCTAGCTCATAAAATATGAGGAGTGGTGGAAGGGAAACATTCCAGAGGGCCTGCGACGCATGGAAAACACGTTGGTAAAGGTGTATCGACGCAGTATGTGAAGAGCATTAAGTTGTATCGTTGAGTGAAGGATTAATTACTCAATGGTTGTATTGCATGTGTGATCAATAAATCTATTACTTTTGGGACAAACCCTATATAGGGCAAGAAATTCCAAATAACTATAGTACACTATATCCAACCATGCCCCATATCCATTACAAGTAGTTCAAACTATACTTCCGATTTTGGCAATATTTATTTTTCTGATTCTGATTTTTTTTGTATTCTGCTATATAACAGAAAAATAAAAATTATATTATTATTATTATTACTATTATGCCTCGTTGGAAATCTTGTGAAGTAAGGGAGTTATTCTGAGAATTGTGAGATAATTACTTCAAGTACGGCGTGCTAGTGGCAATGAGCGATTTGAATACTCGGCAATTAAATTCTACTTATATCTAAAATTACGTGGAATAATGTAGCGAATATTCCAGAAATCCCGATTGACATCTGGCGCCATGAAAAATTAGTCATCGGGGGTAAAGAACGAAGGCGGATGTGACGTAATCTTTTCGAGAAATATGATGTGTGTGTTCGAGAACACTCTGCAGTGTCCTTGAACACTCTAGAACATCATAGAAAGAATGTTGTTTGTTACATAAACAAAACGAATTGTATTTCGAGTTTAGTTACATATTCGATGTGCTTGTGTTATGTTATAAATTGTCAGTGATAAATAATACGTAACTACTGTTATAAATTAAACCATTTTAAAACTGATATAAATTTATTGTTAGTTAACTGCAAATAAATAAAACCACGTTATTTAATTTACGTTACAATAATTTGATGCACTTGGTCTGATTATGAAGAGTATTATACATGGTGGCGTTAGATAGAATTTTATGGTAAATAACACATCTTTGAAGGGACCCTCACGTCTCAAACTGGAAGTGTTCACTCGGTTGCTTATGTCATTAGAAAGGTGAACAATCGTTATGCATTTCATAATTTAAACCACTGTGAGGTTTCAGAAACACAATTTAATTTAAGCATAGGCAGAGTTGGCTACAGCCGATGGCAGGTATCATGATTGAACACTATTCCCGATCTCTTTTCCTTTTAAGGAAATATGTTTATTCCTCAACCATGTTAAAATTGTTTAAAGGAAGAAAATAATTACACTTTTACAGTTGGGCGCCGGCGTAGTTGCTGATGCACACTGCGCAGAAGCTGATTTTTGTATAGGTTCCTTGAACCAACCAACTTTTAGGGGTTGAGGCTACAGTGCTAGATGAAGCGGGTAGTAAAATTGGCGCGGTCGACGGTTTTTCGAAAAGCATTTCTTATCACATAAATGCATGTGGTGTCTAATGACAAGGGAACTAAACTATGAAGCGAGAGCATTCAGGTTCGATTCTCGGTCGTGTCAGACTATTTTTAACGTTTTCTCAGCCTCGGCTGAACCCCCCCGCCCCCCAAATAAAGGCGCATAAATAAATTAAATATTTTTCTAATTTTCTCAAAAACGAATTGACCGATTTTAAAAAATCAAACGTCAAAATAAAGGACTTGGAAAGACCTTTCAAATACGCTATTATTCGATACCACTTGTCACTTAAAAATAAAGGCAAAATAAAATTAAAAATAAAATAAATAAAAATTTAAAATTATTAAAGGAATGACCCTGGGGGGCAGAGAGTGGAGTAGTTTGCCACCAAGTCAAATCTCGAATCGGATAGTTTGCAAGTGGGAATGTCTATTCACCAAAAAGCTATGCTAAAAATACTACAATAAACATAATTTGTCCTCGGAGATCCTCAATGGCCACGCTCACGCATTACTTAAAAGAACGATTATGTTGCATAAAATTATATTAGATGGAAGACAGTCGATACTTGTGCTTAGATTTATAGTAACAATTTTGATAACCCTATTACAATAACCGCCACAATAATTTATAAAAGATCAATTGTTTTTAAACACAGATAGAATCTCCTCGTACGACTTATGTAAAGCTGCTACGAAATCAGGCCCATTTGCTTGTTGTAAATATGTAGTAACCAACACACCCAACGCATCCTTCTTAATTTCGTAACTAAAAAATTAACAGGATGTAGGTACATAAACTTAAACACGCACAAACACGCTTACGCAATTCCAAAACCGTCTGGAACCACTGGCCCAAATGCTCCTAAGGTTATGACGGGTGAAGATAATGTGCTAGTAGATATAATGTTGTAATTTAGGGCTTTGTACGCATCGTCCTCGTAAAGATCAATTTTCTCTTTTGCGTATAGTTTCAGAGCGAACAGGTGTCTGTCAAATCCCTGGCCCATTGCGGCATTTTTTGTTAGCTGTCCGTGAACTTTTGAGCATTCCGCTATCAATTTGAGCAATTCCTGATTTGATAATGACTTGTTGGAATTAATTGCTAAAGCGAAATTCTATAAGCAAGTTAATGTAGTTATGTGCGCCGGTACTAATTAGAAAATACCTTAGTAGCCATTGTGCATGGGCGAATGGTTTCGGTTCGGCCATATCTGAAGGCAGCTGTGCTACATGATTCGTATGATCCCACGAATTTTCCATGCAGCTTATGGTATGCGACCTGTAATATTATTTGTATATTATATTGGAGAATAGTGTACCAATGTGCTTTATCACATGCTCTAATCCTAATTGTTAGAATTATCTCAGCATTCGGCAAGTCTAGCGTGCATTAGGCCCTCATTTAAGCTCATATTTGATTTGCATAATGGTACCATAATACCAAATTCAAAGAGCAAATGTACTGTGAGCGATTACAGTCTAAGCACTAAGTAGAAGCAATTAATTCATGATTTAATTCCATATGAGGCTGTGACGTTAATATTTTGCATTAGTTACTGTAACGAATCTCATGTACAGAAAATTTGATAGTGTAGCAAAATGCCTAATCTAAAAATAGACACGCAATTATAACCATGTGTGCGTGAATGTGTGTTTTACGCATTGCAAGGAAATTAATTATTTCATTTATTCTCTATTCGTTACCAATGTTAAATGACGAAAACCTCAACTACATTCTGTGGCCGGTCCGTGCAGAGCACAGCTGGGGGCAATAATTTCTATTTGGATTGACAGAACGCATCTAAAAACCTGGTGCACTAACCATAAGGTATTTATGAACAATTGCAGTTTTGCCGCTTTCCGCAATATGGCAATTTGTTGTTGTTTGGCTCGTCGTATATTTGAACTAGCGTCGTAATGTATTTCATAAAAAAAATATTGAACAGAATTTTATGCTCAAGCACCATTTAATGTTGTATATTTTATGTTAAGGCGATTTCACCAACTACTTGTGATTTGCATTAAGTTGGCATTTCTTTAATATATTAACGCATTGTAGTTCGCTTTATTGTACAGGGTGTTTATAAAAACAGAATTAATTTTCTTTAGACACCCGACGATCATTCGTTAGACAAACACCATTTACTAATATGTTATTCTATTGCAGCAAAGATACCTTACAGAAAATAAGAACCGTTTCGTAATTTATTATTACTTATCCCTTAAGAGATCAAAAGAGGTTTACTGACGGACAGCTAGCCGGCGCATATTACATATAATTACATAACAAGAACCACTCCCAATCTAATAAGTTGTATGAAGAATAACCAGAGGTAGGAGAAAGAAAAATTATTTGTATTTGTGTGGGGCTTTAATGTTAGGACCGTTATAGTACCACAATCTGTTTCTGCGAAAAAACAGGCGTTTATTAAAATTTGTTTCTGATTGGCTGCTTACTTATGAAATCTTAAAGAAAATTTTTAAGGTGGAAGAGAAGTGATTTCTTTAAATGCCAGAAGATAACGAAACACAAGGCTTCTGCGGTGGTGGACATTTGAAATGTAACTATTTTGCCGTACACGCTTTATATCTTTTTTTTTAGCAATCAGTCCTGTTTGAATAGCAGTTCGTCGTTACTAAAGTTCTGTAGAAGGAAGTTTAATGTGCTAAGAGATTTAATTTACGAAGTCACCAAGTGAGTTATTAAAGTTCGTGAAAAATCCGTATTCGGAAAAAATAATAGCTCCGAGTTGTGTGTTGATCAAGCAGCTTTTTGTACAGCGAGGCAGTGTATAACCTTCCTTTTTTACCAAAAATCGACTACACCAAAATTTCTCGGGAAAACACTTTTTCTTATTAATTTTGGTGCGTGGAATCCAAAACAATTCGTACTTTTTCGATCAGACTTCTCAATCAAAAGTTATAGACTAGAAACCAATTTCGAAAGAAAATTCAAAGGGCTGTAACTTTTGAAGTAGTAGCCCAATCTTGGAACTGTTTGAAATTATGGATTCTACAGGCCACATTCTATAAGAAAATTTTTTTTCTCGGTCGATCTGAGACAATTTTTTTTTCGGGCCTCACAAAAAGGCAGTGTATAACCTTCCTTTTTTACCAAAAATCGACTGGTACGTAGAATCCAAAACAATTCGTACTTTTTCGATCAGATTTCTCAATAAAAAGTTATAGACTAGAAACTAATTTCGAAAGAAAATTCGAAGGGCTGTAACTTTTGAACTAGTAGCCCAATCTTGGAACTGTTTGAAATTATGGATTCTACAGGCCACATTCTATAAGAAAATTTTTTTTCCGGGTCGATCTGAGACAATTTTTTTTCGGGGCTCAAAAAAAGGCAGTGTATAACCTTCCTTTTTTACCAAAAATCGACTGCACCAAAATTTCTCGGGAAAACACTTTTCTTATTAATTTTGGTGCGTAGAATCCAAAACAATTCGTACTTTTTCGATCAGACTTCTCAATCAAAAGTTATAGACTAGAAACCAATTTCGAAAGAAAATTCAAAGGGCTGTAACTTTTGAACTAGTAGCCCAATCTTGGAACTGTTTGAAATTATGGATTCTACAGGCCACATTCTATAAGAAAAATTTTTTTCCGGGTCGATCTGAGACAATTTTTTTGAGGGTCTCAAAAAAAGGCAGTGTACAACCTTCCTTTTTTACCAAAAATCCACTGCACCAAAATTTCTCAGGAAAACACTTTTTCTTATTCATTTTGGTGCGTAGAATCCAAAACAATTCGTACTTTTTCGATCAGACTTCTCAATCGAAAGTTATAGACTAGAAACCAATTTCGAAAGAAAATTCAAAGTCCGAAAATTCACAAGATTCAATAATCAAATTCAACAAAGCCAGTTCGTGTTATCAAGATTGGATGTAATAGGAACGAAGTGAAGTTTTTGAAGCCGTCAGCGACCAGTTTATTGGATTATTAAAAAACTGTAAGAAAAGATTATCTATCGATCGCTTGCATGCGTTGCATTTGTAAAGCAGGCTCTGAAAGCCTCTCTCTTTCAGCATTGTCAATTTGTGTGTAGACCGGATAAATGTTATTTTATTTGTCAATGAGCATTTACGACCCCAGAGTTATACTAGATTTTAAATGTAAGAAGTGGTGAACGAGACATATCTATTGGTAACGTCAAGACGAATATCTCGAGAATGGAGTGTCGTAGGAGAGTACTCCTAAAAAAAGTTTGCACGAGACATATCTGCTGGCGAAGTGAAAATATCTCGAAAATAAGACAATAGTCGGAGAATTTTTGTAAGGGCTAGATTCTTCTTGAATTATGCACATTTTGAAAGTTTACCAAGTTTATGTAAATATAGAGTTAATTTTTTGGCCGTAATCAGTAACAAGTTCCTCTTAATTAGAGGTGGTAATTCACGCACAGAAAAAGATAAAATATGTGCATACGCATGCAGTAAACGAGTGTAAAATATGCAAATCAGATTTGATACATATGCGAAATCATATCTTGCCTAATTTGCAATGAAACAGAATACATCATATACACAACACTCATCTTTTATGTATGTAAATGTGTATTACAGGACTAGCAAATTGAAAAATAGATTTAATTATAATAAATTACAAATCTCTTATTTTGCTAAATAAGTAACATCCTGTTTATTGGAGCGAAATTAATTGGTAATTATTGTTATGGTTGGCTTAACAAGTGAATAACATAATTATGACATTAGTCAAGTGCATTTCTCATCTTTTTATGGGAAAATCATAATATGGTTTATTCTGGAAATCGCTAAAACTTATTAACACTTCAAATCCGGACGTCATGTTCGGATGACAGCGCATTTTGCCAAGTTCCCAAAGCAATTGCCCAATAATTAATCAAGTACGCAAGTTAGTTATTCCGCATTAAGGCAATGCATTTTGCAGATTCTGCAACGGAATTATTGAATAAAAGAAGATTCTGCCTTACCAACTAAACCGAAATGAGAGTATGAAGAAAACTGCAGTACATCAAAAAAGCAATGTGTTTTGCAGTTTCCCCGATGAAATTGGTAAAAGAATAACGATTTTGATTTACCAATTTACCTAAAATTAGAGTATGACAGGATCTCAAAATCTAGATTCTGTGCATCAATGTGTTTCGCCGTTTCCCCGACGAAATTAATGAGTAACCAGAAAATATTACTCTACCAACTTAACCAAAATGAGTTTAAACGTTTTTCTAGTACATATAAAGTAAATGGTAAAGAATTGGTGTAAAATTGAAACAGAGTCGTCGTACGCTGCCTATTGCATGCAACGAAACGCGGTAGCACACAGTATTCAAAACCGAATAGGTATATATTACACCGAAAAAATACCAAGAACTTTTACCAACATATACGATGAGTTTGACTAAAAAGAAACTATCGATATATTGGTGATTTTCTGAGCCGAATCAAATTTCTTTTCGCATTTTATAAAATTCCAATGTTACTTAATAACTAAAAATAAATAAAACAGATTTCTCTGATGAAACACTGCGCGTGTATAATTGGTTTCTGTAAAATAAACTTTTGGTGTGAATCTTAAATATATAAAAATTGGTTACATTTACTATTTCAACCAGCCATGATACGTGTGGAGTGTTTAAATTTGTGCTATTATGTATCTATTGGTTATTTCATTATTATTTATATTGTTACAGGGAGGTATTCTAATATATTTGGATATTGGGGGGGAAAGAACTTAGACTTTTGAAATTGTCATACCTCTGATTGTACATCATATTATCACAAATTGCAGCTGTGAAAAATGTGCAATTATTACACTATACACAATGTAGATATACCTATTTGTAGTAACCTTGCACAAGTTAAAAGAAATATATTGTCTTTACTAGAATAGTAAAACGTTTAAATCTTACATAATTTATCTTTGAGATATATTATGCAATATTACTCTGTACTTGGCATTGGCCGTTGGTTAATAAACTCGTTATTATATGACCCATATGATCATCAATTACCTTTGTTTCTGTAACAATATTTATCATGCAACACCTATTAAAGAAGTAGATGATGGTACTATGCAGGTGCATAAAGTGAATTAGAAATAACATAATTTTTGTGAAAACAAACAGAAAGAAGCTACAAGAACCTTCGCTGTAATAATATACGAACTTGAAAGCCCAGCTGCATTATAGCGTCAGGACTCAAAGAAAACTTCTTGCAGATATCCTTTCCCAGCCCCTCCAATTGCACCGTATTTACATCTAAAGAATTGCACACTTTCTCATAGTCCTTGCTTGCTTGCGCTATCGCGCTTTTAAGGGCATCATCCAAATGAAATTCTGTAATACAAGATGGCATTATAATACCACGACCAATTAATAATTACCAAGTTTATTCAGACTTTCACTTGCCGCATTGGACTCCATCCCAGGATGTACTTGAGGATTTGCCTGAAAATCCTTGTAAATGTCTTGCAAAAATCGAAGCACGGCCACACCATCGCCCCACGAATGCTCGAAATTGATTCCACTCGAACTATTCTCCGTGACAATTAACGAGAGCGATTTGTCAAACCATCTGAAAGCAAAACACGTTATGATCTCATTTTCTAGCTTAGAAATACCGATTCTTGCCGTCACTATGTAAAAATTGCCTACAAACGTTAATGGGATCCTTGTTACACGCACCGTCCAAGCATACATTAAATAATGCACCATCTATGTAGCTCAATGACTTTTCATTCCCCAAACTGACCAGTTGCAGACGAAGTTTGGCCCAATCATTTCGATCCAAAGTTGTTAAAACACCAATAGGAAACTCGGCCGGCGACACTCTGCTGTCCAAAATCGACTTTATACTACCCAATATTTCGTTTGCCGGCTTAATATTATTCGAATTGTCCAACACATCAACCACGTAAAAATTACCCCTATACTGCACAACAATATGCTTTCCACTTTTATTCATTTCGATTTTGTCCCTACCTACTTGAGGAAATCTTGTAGTGTTAAATAAATTATAATACTGAGACATGTCCAACGGATAGGCATTGAATAACAAGTAGGACGCGTACCAAGAGAGTGCTGATGGTACTTTAGAACAAACCGAACGAAATAACTTTGTGTCCGATTTTTTCGGATCCATATGATAGACCTCTGGCTCGAGTAAATCCCCGTTGAGCGATTTATAAAACCGTAAGCTACTTATTATTAAATTAACAGCCTTTAAAAGCTGATTGTTATATTCGGGCCTGTTATCATCCACATAAACGAGCGCAGGATTATAATTAAGTGGCAGAGGCTTACGGTCTCTTAAATACATATCAAACCAAGGCTGAGAGATATAACTAGAATTTTTATTATTTGCATTGTGCGTCATTAGCAATTCTTGTAGATGTTTACCCGGTCCCTCTCGAAATTCACCGACATACTTTTTCGTGCGCTGGAATGATTCATTGGAGAGGAGCGGTTCTTGCGAGTTTAGATACCGTTCGCAGGTCTGTTCTAATTTGGGAATCGGTAGTCGGGGTAGCGACTTTTGAAAATGCATGGAAGGTATTTGACTTCGTTGCAAATACTGATAATCGCTGCTTTGGTGGGAAAATCTGCCACCAACTTTGGATAGTCTGTTGGGTAATTTTGAAGAGAACATTCTAACAGCCGGAGACTAAACTGTGACACTTTACGGTGCACACCTAAACTACACAGTAACCAGTAACACAGACAACACAGTACAGGTATCAAAAATAATTTGTAAGCTCCTACAATTTACAAAGGGAAGTGGCAGTGCAAAGTTCAGGTAATTTGTCATTGAGGTTATGATTATAATAAACAAACAGTCAGAGTCATCTAGACAGCAACGTGACAAGCGCCTGCGTAAACCGCGCGGTTTGAAAAATACAATAATTTCATGCACAAGGGGTTGAAGTATTTTTCCCTTCTAAAATTAAAATTTAGTTTATATACGTAAACCTGTAGGTTTTTAAATTGCATTGACTATTATTTTTCTAATGGTGAATCTTCCAAAACCGAAGATACGCAATTAACAAAGAGGAAAAGTTTTTTTGCAAATTGTTGCTCCCCATAGAGGGTTTATAATGACACCAATCCCTCATCTAATGATATACTAATTAGTTAATTTTCAGTTCTTGTTATTGAAACTTGAAACTTTGACATATGCCTGGCGTCGCCGCCTCTCCCAGGATTTAGTCAACTGTCGTGGGGATGCGTCCCTGGTAGGCACTATCAGGAACGTTCCTCCACTACTTTGTTGCCATCGCGCTGAGCCGCGACATATGCCAAACAATGTGGTGGATTTTGCGGATTGGGGGGGTTGTGGGGGGCGGCTAACTGGGTGTTATCCGACCCGTACGGCCACAGCTTCGCCACTGGTATTCTGCCTTAGAGGGAACTCTGCTTTCTAGTGATAGCTTTTGCTCCGGGCGTTCATTGGCTTCCGATGTTCCTATGCTTTGGTCTCGTTCATTTCCCTGATTTTCCTCGTGTTAGGCCCTTTTTATTGTTGTCCTCCCCCTGCGTTATCTTCTGTCCCCTTTAACTCCCCCCCTTGGCTACTTGTCCTTGTGTCTGATTCTTCTTCCACCTCTAGTATTTTTCTGCTTTCTTTCTTCCTTTGATGTTTGTCTCAACTCTTCTCTTTCCATCTTCCCATGGTAATCCCCGAGACCTCTACCGTTTGGTTTATGGTGGTGTTCCATGTGTGGCAGGGTGTGCCTACCTTCCATTCCGAGGTACATAGAATCTTGGCAGCTCGTTATGATATGGTCTTTGTTCCTCCTGTTGGTATGTCCCCAGTGTCTCATCTGCATCAGTCTCCTGGTAATCGTCTTTCTCTCTAGTAGTTCTCTTCTATGATTTCTTGTAAGGTTGCTGTTTTCCATCAGTATCCTGAGTGCCTTTCACTTCGCCCTCCTCAATGTTCGTCTGTTGCTCCTTGTTAGCCCTGAAGTGCTAATTCCGTATAAGATTGTCGGTGCTATGATCGTGTTGTAAATCCTCATTTTCAAGCTGTCCGGTATTTTCTTCTCTCGTAAGAAGTTCCAGATTGCGTGTGTGATTCTGAATGCGTTGGTTATTCTGTCTTTCACTGCGTTGTGCCTGCTGAGGGTGCTGCTGGCCACGCGTTTATGGTTCTGTTGATTAGGAATTTGGGTAGTCCCAGCATCGCCCGCGCTGTCGTTGGTATGTATTTCTGTTTCCCCCTTGTTTCCTCCTTTTGTATTTTCTGATGTGCTTATACCATTACATTTGCGCATTCCTCTTCATTGGTCTGAGTTTGTCGATGTTCTTCGCGACCTCGACGAATTCCTTGATTTCGTGTTGCTCATAGGCTCTGTTTTCTTCTCCATGGCTTCCCTTAGCTCCTTCTTTGTTTCAGGTTAGTGTGGGTTTTGGCCCGCTTCATGTTCGGTCACATGAGCGGTTTCTGTTTCCCTAGTGTTTTCCTTGTTGCTTCTTTGACCGTTTCGCCGATCCTGTTCCAATATGGTATGCCTTCCCCCTCTTTGCTTCCAATCTCTTACTACTCCTTTCGGTCCTCCTTCCTTTTCTTCTCCCCTGACAGAAGTTTCACATCCTACTCTTCGGTTTCCCCGCTGTGCTTCTTGTCCTTTCCTTTCTGTTCTCTTTTTCCCCCCTCCCCCTTCTTTACTTTCCCCTTTACCATTTTGTGGTCCGATCCTACTGTTTTTGCCCATATGTCTGCTGTGTTCGTGATGCTTATTTCCTTTGATTTCGTCCTTATTATGTGGTCAATCAGCGATTCAATGTTTCCCCTCCTACATGTTACCATTTTGACTTTGGACGAATATGTTTTCTACCCTCAGTCCATTTAGGTGTACCATGTTCCTAAAGGTCGCTGCCGTTCCCTTCCTCCTCTTCACGCCCGTCCGTCCAATCTGCCTAGTTGCGCATTGAGGTCGCCTAATATGATACCCAGTTTCTTTCAGCACTTTTTCTGTTGTTTCCTTCGATTTTTGAGTTCCGCCTGCCCTCTTTTTGTCCGAGGGGATGTGGCATCCTATGATTGTTAGTCTTCCTATTTTCATCTTGATTTGGGCCATGGATATACTCTTGCTTTTCTTCAAATTTCTCCACTTCAATGCCTCGATGCCTCTTGATTACGATTTTCGTAACCCTGCTGGTTCTCTCCTTCTTCCCTCTACCTATCCGTCTACGTCTCCTATCAATTGTGGGTAGAAATCTTCCAGGTTTTCCCTGATGTATGCGTTGATTTTTTTAAATCCTTTGGTTAATTTCCTGTGAGGCTCTGATGTCACTGGCAACCTCAGTTGGTGCGCCATCGCTCCAAACCGGCAGTCCCCATCCTTATTTATACTGATGCGTTCTAGGAAGTATTCTTTTGATCGCACTTCTATTTGGTCCATGATTTGATCGCTGTTACTTGTCATTAAGGTCTTAATCCTGGTTTGAGTGGTAGGTGCTGTTTATTGATCGCTAAAAGAGATACCTAGGAGAGATAATTTAGTTAAGTTGTCACCGAGGCGTGCCCCTTCACAGTCTGGCCGCCCCGTATATTCTATTGTGTGTGGGAGACTCTAAACTAAAGGTACTAATGAGAGCAAAAGGTGTAAAAAACACAGGAAAAAAAAAGCCGCTGAAATTTGGTAAGACAGGGTTTCCTTTTTTTGTCAATCATGCCTCTATTAGATCGAAATTTGAGAGCTTAAATATTGTAATTTATGGCTATAGCTTCTTTATATGTCTCCGGTTGACAAGTTTATATTTCCTTTCCCAAGGGTCAATTTGTTCCACCCCGCTTCGAAGTAGGTATATTCAATGTAGCTCCCAGTGACTTGGGCCGCTCTATTCTATATTTTCTCCTTTGTTCAATTTTAATTTAAATTTAGCCTTAATTCTAAGTAAGTGAGTAAGTAAGCAAGCAAGCACTTATCTTAACTTTACGCCCTTTTTTGTTCTGTTGATTGGAGGTTCCTGCCTTGTCTTCTCACGATTTAATTAGCCCCGCGCGTTATGTATAGCTTGAGATTAAACTTAAAACTGTAAAAATTCGTAAAATCCCAACCAGTGAACCGATTTCGATCAAATAAGCACTAAACAATTACAAATTTTTGTGCGCTCCCGACGAAACAAGACAAACATTTTTAAACCTATATACAATCACAAAACCACTAAAATCAGCCGGAGCTGTCTCAAAACACGTCCGTTCGCCATGAAAGACGAACTTCTCTCCCCTTTCAGTTCTCGTTATTGTAACAAAAATTCGGCAATAAATAAATCCAATTAGCCAAATATATTCGCCGGAGCTTGCGAACATTTCTGGAAGGCCGTTGGTTATTCCTGCTGGTAGTAGTTACACTCAACCAGAGGGTGCATTACAGATATTGGGGCATTGCAGCGATGGCTCTGAACATGACTGAGAGTTGGAGCATCTCCAAAGTGCAGTCATCTCAAGGCTTGGGCTTGATAATGTCACCATTTACTAGAGCATCAGGTACCACCTAGCAACATACTGGAGCGATAGGCACTGAAATGCGTGGGGTGACTTGAGTGACACTATGGGGCGAACGACTCCAATCATGGAGGCAGTATAAAGGATCCAAAAGGTAGGCCGATGTCTGTATGTACGTAAGTCCCACCCTCCACTCGAAATCCAGAATCTAAACTGTCGTATAAAAGGCAGAATTCATCGACTATTCCAACCCTCTCAGAAAATGGTCCGGTGTGTAACGGGAGTCCGCTAAAGCATTTTAAATTTTACAAATTTTTTTATATGTGTAAAATGTGTATTTCATACGGATAGTGGAGCGCGTTTAGAATGGTTTTGTGAACTGAAGGCGAGTCAGCAAATTTGCTTTTATTCCGTATGGGCACAGATTAACTACTATGACCTTCTACAGAGGCACCTCTAAAAAGCATTATGCGCGTCACTCTGTAATTGGGCGCAATCCTTTTGAGGACCCAGAACAAGAGAGGGATAATAAATAAATAAAATAAATAAATAAATAAATAAATAAATAAATAAATAAATAAATAAATAAATAAATAAATAAATAAATAAATAATAAAATAATAATAAATAAATAAATATAATAAATAAATAAAATAAATAAATAAATAAATAAATAAATAAATAAATAAATAAATAAATAAATAAATAAATAAATAAATAAATAAATAAATAAATAAATAAATAAATAATAAATAAATAAATAAATAAATAAATAAATAAATAAATAAATAAATAAATAAATAAATAAATAAATAAATAAATAAATAAATAAATAAATAAATAAATACTATCTGATGTGGTATCGGCAATGCAGGTCGGCAAGAGATAGGATAAGAAAGTTATCGCAGTTTTGCGGATTGATACGAACTTGTAGTTGCATACCCACCAGTGTGATATATTTTCTGATAAACCTAGAGATGGGGTATCTCTCCCTGAAATCGATCGCTAATAGAAAATTGAATTGAATAAATTTTTACATCTATTTCTGTGTATTCCCCAAGGGCCGAACAAATAAAAAGCTACCTACAATACATTTTAAAATTTATCGTTAGCGCCGCTACAGGTAAGTTCAGAGATGACGTAACAATTTATTTAGGTACGTAAAATCTCGATTCTGAAGCAAGTTAATCGCCGTTGAAACTCTTATAGTGTCGAGCAAAACGAAAAAGTAGCTCGTTTCGTGGCGAGGAATTAACATTGTTAATCGCGAAGTTTTTTCATTTGCCGCAATAAAAGAAGCTACACATACCAAAACGCTTACCTTACCCTAGGTGAATTTTACACTACGACGGAATCTCCCAA